GCACCGTGCTCAGCCAGTGAGTGCACCGGCCATCCTATATAGGATCCGAACCCGCGGTGGGAGCACTGCTGCGCTCCCAGCACTGCGCCACGGGCTCGGCCCTGAAAAGGATTCATTCTGACCCACTGTTTCTTGTTTTGAAAATGGAGGGATTGTGGGAGGTCTCTAGAAGCTGGAAAAGAGCAAGGAAAGGGATATTTCCCCTAGAACCTTCAGAAAGGAATATGACCCTGCTGAAACCTTGATTTTTAGCTCAGTGAGATTTGTGTCAGACTTCTAACTTGCAGAACTGGAATATAATAACATTTTGTTTTTTAAGCCACTAAATTTGTGGTAATTTATCACAGTAGCAATAGAAAACCAACATACTTTGTAATGTAGTTGAAAGAGTATTAAGCAGAGCTTACTTTTCTTGTAAACATCAAATGAAATAAAATATGCAAAAGTTCTTAAAAGCTGCAAAGCATTTTACTCTGAAAATCTAAAAGCATTATACCTCATCAGTGAATAATTTGTACATACCAAGGGAAAGGTTGAGGGGGAAAAAAGGACGAAGAAGTGTAGACTGTAGTCTGCTGTAGCAGTTCTTGATACATCTTGTAAATTCACAAATGTTCACTGTGGAGGGTGGTGAATTATATCATGATACACTTGAAACCTTGAGAACTGGACCAGAATTTAAATTGTGGAGCTAGAATAGTTTATTCCGGCTCACCATTCATGAAAGGGTATTTGAATTGCTTAAGCATTGGCCATTGGCTGACCATCTCTTTTAGCCAGGTGCCTGCTTCTTACCTGAAAGAATTATGGAACAGATTTAGCCTCAGAATAGTTTAATATTTATTGAAGACTTACTGAATGTCAAGCTACACTGAATGCTTTCTGTCCATCATTTGATTCTCACAATAAACCTGAGGACAGTACTATTATCACCCCCATTTTTAAGATCAGGAGATAGGTACAGGGAGGTTAAATAACGAGTTCAAGGTCACAAGCTAAATGTGATAGCATTCTGATTTATAAATACAGGCCATTTCACCCCGCAAACTATTTAGTCACTACTCTAGGCAGAGTCTATATTATTTCAATTTTTTTTTAATACATTAGGACAAGTTTAAATAAGTTAAGTGATTTTCCAAAGGCCACAGAG